CGTATTTTGGTCGGTAAAAATTCATTATATATACTCCCGAAGGTTTTGGCCACCGTATCATGCAAATATCCTCTGTTTTCGTTTCGAGCTGTTCCTGTTGTAGATTCGGAACAAGATGTCGTCCCAAGATTCGGAGGGAGAGAGTTACGTGGTTGATTATATTGCAAATCCAAAAGTATATGCAGATGTGGAACATTATGGCTGGACCATAGAGGAAGAAGAAGATTATGATCCAAAGAGGAAGTAGGAGACAATCTTCGATGAGGAGGATGACCCACTTCCTCAACCTGGTGATATGCATGTGGAGTTCAAGAAATCAAGCCTCACTAAGGTCCAATCTATCCCACCACGTTTTTTGCAGGACGGCAAGGCAGCACTATGCAAAAAGATAATGAAACTTGAGCTAGAGAATGAAGATCTGAGGGAGGAAACCTTTAGCCTCAGACGCAAGCTACAGAAGAAGAATGCAACAATCCCCACTCTACCACCTCCGAAGAAATAATCACATGGGTATGGGCACTCCCCTTGGCAACTGCCAAGCTTGGGGGAGGTGCCCCGGTATCGTATCACCATCACACTCCTATCTTTACCGCTTTATTTTGTTCGATCCTTTTAGTAGTATCTTTATCTATTAATTCGAAGTTTTAATAACAAGTAGTTTTGATTTTTTCTTTGTGATCTCTTTTTGTAAGCGAGTCCGTGTTCTATCTATAATAAAGATTAGTGTTGAGTCAAGGCCTTTGCTATGTTACTATGATCTTGAGAAAGTAGAAAGAACAAAAGAGTTCATATTGATCTTATGGATAGTGATAACTTCACACATAGAAAGTATGAGGCATAAAAATTGTTGAGAGTTGATGAACGTAGCCTTGGTCATCGTTGCAATTAATAGGAAGTGATAAGGAAAGAGGGGTTCACATATAGATATATTGTCTTGGACATCTTTTATGATTGTGAAGCACTCATTAAGTATGAAATGCTAAAAGAATTGATGTTGGACAAGGAAGACAACGTAATGGTTTATGTTTTCCGACATCTCAGTTAAAGTATATTGTTAGTGACCTTCCGAACATGTTGAGCTTGCCTTTCCCCCTCATGCTAGCCAAAACTCCTTGCACCAAGTAGAGATACTACTTGTGCTTCCAAACTCCCTTAAACCCAGTTTTGCCATGAGAGTCCACCATACCTACCTATGGATTGAGTAAGATCCTTCAAGTAAGTTGTCATTGGTGCAAGCAATAAAAATTGCTCCCTAAATATGCATGACTTATTAATGCAGAGAAAATAAGCTTTGTACGAACTTGTTGTGGAAGTAATAAAAGCGACAGAGTGCATAATAAAGGTCCACATACAAGGGGCAATACAAAGTGACATTCTTTTGCATTAAGATTTTGTGTATCCAACCCTAAAAGCGCATGACAACCTCTGCTTCCCTCTGCGAAGGGCCTATCTTTTACTTTATGTTTTTACTTTATGCTTGAATCAAGGTGATCCTCACCTTTCCACTTTTTCATTTTATCCTTTGGCAAGCTCCTCGTGTTTGAAAGGTCATGATACATATATCAAATTGAATGTAAGTTGGCATAGGCTATTATTGTTGACATCACCTAAAGGTGAATACGTTGGGAGGCAACACAATAAGCCCCTATCTTTCTCATTGTCCGGCTGAAACTCTATAACCACAAGTATTGAGTGAGTGTTAACGATTATGGGGGACTACGAGATAGTTGAGTATGTGATCTTGCTGAAAAGCTCTATTACTGACTCTTTCTGATGTTACAATAAATTGCAATTGCTTCAATGACTGAGATTATAGTTTGTTAGTTCCTAATGAAGTTTATGAACCATACTTGACATTGTGAATTGCTTATTACTTGAACATAGGAAATAATATGACAAAATCTACATATGTTGCTGTTATTAGAATGATCATGATGCCCTCATGTCCGTATTTTACTTTTATCGACACCTCTATCTCTAAACATTTGGACATATTTCTTGATCTCGGTTTCCGCTTGAGGACAAGCGAGGTCTAAGCTTGGGGGAGTTGATACGTCCATTTTGCATCATGCTTTTATATCAATATTTATGCATTATGGGTTGTTATTACACATTATATCTCAATACTTATGGCTATTCTCTCTTATTTTACAAGGTTCACCATGAAGAGGGTAATGCCAGCAGCTGGAATTCTGGCTGAAAAAGGAGCAAATGTTGGAAACATATTCTGCACAACTCCAAAAGTCCTGAAACGAAAACTCTTTTTGGATTTATTTAAGGAATTATGAGCAAAAGAAATAGGCCAGGGGTCCCACACCCTGTCCAGGAGACAGCCCCCCCCCTATAGGGCACGCCTCCTATCTCCTAGGCCCCCTGGTGGGCCTCCGGCGACCATCTTCTGCTATATGAAGGGTTTTGTCCTGGAAAAATTCGTGGGCAAGCTTACGGGACGAAACTCCGCCACCACGAGGCGGAACCTTGGCGGAATCAATCTAGGGCTCTTGCGGAGCTGTTCTGCCGGGGACACTTCCCTCCGGGAGGGTGAAATCATCACCAACGTCATCACCAACGATCCTCTCATCGGGAGGGGGTCAATCTCCATCAACATCTTCACTAGCACCATCTCCTCTCAAACCCTAGTTCATCTCTTGTATCCAATCTTGTATCCCACAAATTGGTACCTGTGGGTTGCTAGTAGTGTTGATTACTCCTTGTAGTTGATACTTATTGGTTTACTTGGTGGAAGATTATATGTTCAGATCCTTAATGCATATTATTGCACCTCTGATTATGAACATGCTTATGCTTTGTGAGTAGTTACTTTAGTTCCTGAGGACATGGGTGAAGTCTTGCTATTAGTAGTCATGTGAATTTGGTATTCGTTCGATATTTTGATGAGATGTATGTTGTCTCTTCTCTAGTGGTGTTATGTGAACGTCGACTACATGACACTTCATCATTATTTGGGCCTAGAGGAAGGCATGGGGAAGTAATAAGTAGATGATGTGTTGCTAGAGTGACAGAAGCTTAAACCCTAGTTTATGAGTTGCTTCGTTTGGGGTTCATATGATCCCATATGTTTAATGTTGTGGTTAGGTTTACCTTAATACTCCTTTTTGTAGTTGCGAACGCTTCCAATAGGGGTTAATCATAAATGGGATGCTTGTCCAAGTTAGGGCAGTACCCAAGTGTCGGTCTACCCACATATCAAATTATCAAAGTACCGAATGAGAATCTTACGAACGTGGTGAAACTAGCTTGACGATAATTCTCAATGTGTCATCGGGAGCTCCTTTGCTACATAAAGGATTGGGCCACCTTGCTGCACCTTATTTACTTTATTTACTTTTGCTCATTACTATTTATCTTATCACAAAACTATCTATCACCTACTATTTCAGTGCTTGCAGAGAAAACCTTACTGAAAACCGCTTATCATTTCCTTCTACTCCTCGTTGGGTTCGACACTCTTACTTATCGGAAAGACTACAATAGATCCCCTATACTTGTGGGTCATCACTCATCTTCATTCCCTGAAAATAGTGTTCAAATATCCCTCTTCGACACCGCAACACATGTCCAAATATACACGAGTAACCACATGTCCGAATTTCACAAGCTAATTCAAAAACAAAGTGTAGAAGAAAATTCATTTAACTAGTAATGAAACAAAATTCAGTTTACTTTAGTGCTCTATAATGATAAAAGGAAAAAAATCAGTTAACTACTAATTTCATTCATTTAGGTTATTTATTTAACTTCACCTAATTAACCTACTGTACCACTAATACTAGCAACACTACTAACCTAATTAACCTAGCAAAACTTTACTGCCCTAACTGAAAAACATCTAATTAACATCTACTAGTACCACTACTGCCCTAACCTAATTAACATCTACTAGTATCACTATATACTATAAAAGCAACATCTACGTACCCTAATTAAACGCTACTGCCCTAACTAACTTTTGTTGTAAACCAAATTTTTTGCTCTAAACTAATTTTTGCTCTAACATCTACTACTTAACACCCTTTGCTCTAAACTAAAATTTTTGCTATAAACAAACTTTTTCTCTACTAATTTTTGCTCTAAAATGCAGAGAGAGGGGAGTGGGGGGAGGGGTGGGGGACTTACAGAAAGGGGAGAGACGATGGTCGGGAGGTGCTCGGCGACGGAGGCAGGCGTGGAGAGGGCGGGCTCGGGCACGGGCAACGGCGGTCCTGGGCGGGCTCGGGCAGCGGTGAGGTGGAGGGCGGCGACGGTGAGGTCGAGGGCGGCCTCGGGCGGCGACGGTGAGGTCGAGGGCGGCCTCGGGCGGCGGCGGTGAGGCTGAGGGCGGCCTCGGGCGGCGGCGGTGAGGATGATGGCGGCCTAGGGGAGATGGTGAGATTGCGGGAATCCACGCCGGCAAGAGACGGCGGCAAACTGGGGCGACGACGAATTGAGGAGACGGCGGCGAGGGCAAGGGATTTGGGGAAGAAGTGGTGGCCGGGGGGTGGGGGAACCGATGTTTAAGTGAAAACTTAACGGTAGCACGTTTCCGAAAACACACTATAGCTAAGTTAGCTACAACGTGTTTCCTGAAACTCGCTACTTCTATTCCCTTCTCCTTTTTTCCCCTTTTCATTTATTTTTCTTTACATCTTATTTTTTTTTTCCTTTCTCCTTTTTTTATTTCTTTCATTTTCATTTACTTTTCTACTTGTTTTTCATTTTATTTTATTTTCGTTAGCAGTAGCGCCTTAAAAATAAATGCGCTGCTACAACAAAGTTAGCGGTAGTGTTGTTTATAAAAGAGCTCTACTACTATGTGTAGCCGATCGGCTTAGCGGTGAGAATTTTTGTAGTAGCGCTTTTATGGATGGACGCGCTACTGCTATATGTGTATCTGCAGCGCGGTTTTCTCGCGCGCGCTACTGCTATCTAGCAGTAGCGCCCTTTATTAACACGCGCTACTGCTAAAGTTCTGTGTACAGGCTTTTCCCTAGTAGTGTGACCTTTCGTGAGTACTGTTAAATTCTCAGTATAGTCAACTAGTTCATTGCCAGCAGAATATACTCCAGAAGTGAATGCATCCCGAAGATCATCATTCTCTCTTGTTTGTGTCATGCCTGTACAATTAATAATAGATCTCGGTATGCTCCCTGAAATATTCTTGTAGCCAAGGTCCAAGTATTGAAGATTAACAAGCTCCGTAAGCTTGTTTGGAATGTGACCATAAAGCATATTGGATCTCAGTCGTAAGAATGACAAAGATGATAGCTTCTCCCCAATCCATGCTGGTAAAGCCCCAGAGAATTGATTATGTCCGGGATCAAGAAAGATGAGTCGTGGACATTTCTGGAGAAGTGAAGGAAATTCACCAGAGAGGTTGTTGTTTCTGAAGCTTAGATTAACAATCCTCAGATCTGTCATGTTTGTGTTGTACTCATTGACTGGGAAATCAGTAATTGATCCATTGAGGTTATTTCTTGATAGATCTAATGACCGCAGTGATCGCAACTTGCACAAAGAAGATGGAATGGCCCCAGAGATCATGTTGTTATATAGAAAAAGTGTTTCAAGCCCTGGCGCTCCAAAGTCTAATGGTAGTGGCCCAACTAGGTTGTTCCGACTGAGATCAAGCCGGTCAGAGTGATGGGAAGTTTAGGTATTGGACCACTAAGTTGGTTAGAACTGAAATTCATATTTGTTGCTCTCATAAATTCCATTGTTGATGGGAGCACTCCTGTAATCTGATTATTTTGAATGTTCAGAGAATCTGCTGAGGAAGCTGCTATCCAAAACCAACCTGGTACCATGTCATTTATGCTTGTGTTTGATATATCAAGACTCATTACCTGTGTTTGCCATCTAAGCAACATTGGGAATTTTGGCCCTAGCTGACAGGACCGAAGTTCAATTGTTCCTAGACTGAAAGGAGGAACCCAAGTTTGGCTCACTGTGATGGTAATGGAGTTGTCTGATAATCTCAATTCCTCCAACATATCCTGACGTGATAAATGACCTTCATGTATGACCCCGTCCAGGTTGTTAGAACTAAGGTCCAGATTTGTTAGCTGTTTGAGCTCTCCTATCCACAGTGGCACATGACCAGTTGGGCTGTTATGAGCTAGATACAGCTGGCTCAGGTTGCTTAAGCATTCTACTGGTGCAGTTGGCAGGCTTCCAGTCAGATTGTTGTACGGTACAAACAAGTATTGTAGTTTATTCTGTGAACAGTTTGGTAATCGGTGGAATAACTCTGTTATACTTCCATTGACATTGTTCATCATAGAAATTAATCTCTCCAAATTACACAGTTTCTTCATGTTGGAAGGTATCATGCCCACAAGGTTATTATCTGATAAATCAAGCAACACAATGGAGGTCATATTACCTATCCCATCTGGAAACGGGCCATAGAAACCATTGCTCGAGATATCTAGATACTTGAGGCTAGTTAAATCCCAGAACCAGTTGGGCATGCTATGCTTATGGAAGTGGTTTCCCGAAAGGTCGAGTGTTTCAAGAGATGTCAGATTTGAGGGCAGAAGAGAATCAGGGCTACTTTTAAGCAGGCAACTAGTAACACGAAGAACTTTCAGAGTTGGAAGCATGTTCACAGATGGACAGGGGCGGACCCAGAAACTTTTTCGGGAGGGGGCAAATATGTATAACCATATTCATGAACCAGCAAGGCAGGCAACTATACAAACTAAAACATGGGCACAATCACTTGATCTCCACTAGATAACCAAGTTCATAGCAAAGGAAAATATAACTAAAAATTTAAAACGAAATGACTTACATTAGTTGTAAAAGAGAACATCAACACATTGTTCTAATAATCTAAGCTACAACCTTCAAGATTGTTTTTTAATCAAGTCGTGGGGGAATGAAAACATTGAAGGATGCCGGTATTACTAAAGAAAAAAAATGGTTTAGCACATTATCTTTCGTTTCATCCCACGATGATCTTTCACCTCATAAAAACGTTTAACTATCACTTCATAAGCAATTTTGTTCGGTAATCTAAAATACTGATTGATGTTTCCAATCATCCCTGGCTTTAATTTTTTTGCACGAGGCAGATGAGTGTCCCTGCACATCAAGTACTTTCTTCTCATATCCTCGTGCTGATTGGGATTGCAATCAGTATCCCTCTTCCTTTTAGATGGATCCCTACGAACCTTGTTCAAATCGACTAGTTCAGGAATTTTTTAGGCTGTTGTCTTGTTGATTTTTTTAAAAACCTTTCCGTTAGCTTCCCTGAACCTTAAGTGTCAAAAACCAAAACATTAAATGAATTTTCGAATTGCCAAAATAGCATGCATGAAGATGAAGTGTAGTAGGAACTAGGAAGAAGTAATAGATGATCCTAATCAAACTGGACGGTGGTGGTCCAGACTAGCCAATTCTAGTTGTAAATAAAAAGTTGCATGCTAGAATTTATATGTTATACAAAAATCATTTGAACTGAGCTAGTCACCTAAAATCACACATAATTTAAGGAGATTGACATGATTTTTAACATAGAAATTGCAACTGAACAATTGTTTAGAAAAGAAATAAAAAAACCTATATGAACTACACGGCTAACCTTGCTGGAAATTAGAATGAGGGGATTGCTCAATTGATGATTGTCCTCTGTTGCAGTGTCGTCCTGCAAGATCGCGAGGGAAGAGCGACCGCAAGCCGCCAATTTCCGGCGGCGAGCAGCGACTGCGCGATCCCGTGAGGCGTGAGCGGCGAGGTACGGGCATCCGCGGTCTGGTGCGTTTGTGACTTCACGTGCGTTATGCACTCGTAACTAGGCTTTTGGTGGGCTCCCACGTAGCCCATCTCACAAGCCTGTTATTTCATTTTGGTGGTGTGCTTCTATAAATTTCGTGTATAGGCTTTTCAAAATAAACAAGAAACTTTTTCTTTTGCGTTCAAATAAACAAGAAACTGGCTGAGTGGGGGCAAAGACATTGGGCCAAGTGGGGGCGCGTAGAGCTGTACGTGACCAGTATCTAAAGCGTACTTGGAATCGAGTGGAGGGCAGGTGCCCCCACACCCTTCAACGTGCGTCCGCCCCTGCAGATGGAAGCCAGTGAACAATTGTTTGGAAGGAGGCGACCTTGCGATCTGGAGGCTGACGACGCCGGTGACAAGGACGGCGAGCAGCCACTCAGCGCCTCCTTCCTTCTCCCCTACGTCTGCCTCCGGACGACGGACAGTGCTCTTGCCAGTTCCTCAAAAAAAAAAAAGAGGGAGGGAGATCTGTAATCCGTGCCCGTGCTACGCTAGTAGTGATTCTGTCTCTCTTTATATGAATGATTACTTGTCAACTCTTCCATGGTTAGGTCTTCGCGCAGTCTTCAACTCTTCATGCAAGGTGCGCTGAGCTCCGCCGCATGGGAAGGCGGGATGATGTCGGCTAGGAGCGAGCCACCCGTATTCTTCATGGGATCAGATGGTTGCGGTTGTCATTTGGCGCGCTGTGTCACTGTGTCACGGCTCCGGGTCATGCTTGACCTTGTATCGAACCTTCTTTGTTTTTCCTTTGTTCGTTCTCATTTTCTTAAGACTTGGATCTGCAAGGGTTTCAGTTTAAGGGTGTGAGAGCTAAACACGATCATGTCCTAGAGTCCGAGTAGTACTCGTGTACTATCGTCCGAGTAGTACTCCAAGTAGGATTAGTTTTCCTAGACGTTTCCGTCATGTATTAGCTAGCCGATCATGCTATATATACATGTATCAGGCCCCCTGTAATCTACGCCAGAGATAAAAGTAATAAAAGTACTAACAGGTGCGACAGGCACCTGTCGCCATCAAAGTCTACCGATCTGTTTCTCCGTCCACATTCGCCAAGTTACGAGAGTTCCGTCGAGACGATCGACTCGATCAGCTAAAGCTAGTCCAAGCCGTGAACTTGTACGTGTGTGGCTACTGTTCATCAATCCAGCTGCCTGCTTGGTTGCTTGGTTGAGGCTAGCTTGCACATAGGCACAGGGTGAATTGATCAAGCGATCAAAAACCAACAAGGGCTTCAGTTTAAGGCCGGGCATGTGCGCTCTAAAAAAAACTCTTCCATGGTTGTTTGACAAAGACAAACGAAACGCCATGACATACTGTTTCACCCTTTCTAGTTAGCCGTTGCACAATACTTGAAGACCATATAGTCCGTCTTCCCTTTAGGAACTTGAGTTTCTTCAGGAACAGCAGTCGTAGGTGCAAATACAATGAGCAAGCATCAGGAGAACAGCAACTTGCACGAGCCAGCATCAATCAGCAATTAGTATATCGGAACAGAAACGAAGCATAAGAAAGTGGAAACTATTAATATATGGAGTGTTGTTCCGGAAGGGATTCTCCGGAAGGGATTCTCAGCGAGCCAGCATTGACCATGGTTCCACCCGAAGCATAGTCATTTCACTTTTTGTTGACTGATAATTAGTTCAGTTTCGTTGATTGCATGCCTGCTTTTGGGGTTGATATCATTTGCTCCAGTTCTTCAAGCTGATTCAAAAAGACTCATATATGTCAAAAAACAACAATCCTTATAAGCAAGAAGAAAACATGTTCTTTCTTATAGAGCACTGTGTTCATGAGAAAGATCGGTAACATGAATCCAACCTGGTTTATATTACCTTCTCCAGTTTCAGCCAATATGCCACTGAAGAACTCTCATCTCATCTTCAAGAGCAGATTTTGTTGAGCTCCCTTGCTTCAGACGCAGATGCATCATTATCAACCAACAAAGCTTCCAGAGCATTTTACAGGTTCTGCATACTGACACGCATAGTAAGATAGCAGCAGCACAATATTGGATCGCACCTCCAACTCCAAGCGTGGACCCTAACTCGCACAATGTGCAGAAGTTTCTATGACTGAATTAAAGAAATTATTTCCAGGACTGTATTAAAAAATTTAACAAAGCCAATATATATACAAGATACAAGCATTATCTGAACTCACATTTTCCATGTACATATGCAATAACATGTGCACTTATGCAAGTGAAGGAACCTGCGATAGGACAAGGATACATAACAGCGCTTGGGTTGCAAATATGTTGCTTTATCATACTACTATAAAGCAGAGGAACGGTTATATGCAAAAACAGAGACCACCTCTTTGCATAGAAACCTCAGCCAGAGCAAAAAAGGACTTCTATTTTCTCTCCATCGTACTGTCTGGACTCGTCTGAACTATTGCTCTTGCAGAATCGAGCATCTTCCAGGCCAGAACAAAAATCAGAATCAGCTTCATCACCTGTCATGTTATCATCATTCTTGCCATCACCGTTTTCGCCCTCCTTATCTTTGCCATTCGAGTTTTGCCGGAGGTATCAGTATTTACCATGGAATCTATCTATTATATAATTAAGACAGAAGTCAAACTAGCCATCACGTTGACTCCACATATATTAAATTATCTTGACCGTTGATTTTAGAAATTAGCTGTTAAGATTTAAAAGATATAGCGTTACATACAAATAGAGTCACGGACCAATAATTTGACATGACACGTATCACTTCTTTCATCTGTGGTTTCGTTTTATACCTAAA